CTGTGGACCCAAGAGGAGTTCCCATATAGAACCAAGAATGTGGACCCAAGAGGAGTTTCCCATATAGAGCTTCCAATCACCAACCTTCTCTCTAAAGTCCACCACGTGCTCCTTGCTTGTGGTGATATGCCTTGTTGCACCCGAGTCAATTCACCAACCATCTGATGGAGTAACCGTGAGAGATTCTTCTACTACGAATGCAATATCCTTTGGGTGATCGGGTCCTCTCCATCTTCTTTAGTGGGGCCCTACAAAATTTGGCAATAGGACCAAAATTGTTACAATTAAAACATCTTTTTAACCTTTCAAAGAATTTTCCGTTTTTCTTGTCTTCTTTCTTTGTTTCCTCATTGCTTTCTTTATTCTCCTTTCTTTTCTTATGATTGGGTCTAGGATACCCTTTTTGAGTAGCCAAATAAGCCTGTTGATGGGCTCTTTCATTTTTCTATTTGGCCCTATCATTCTCTTCCATCCTAAGATATCCTATTCAATCATCAAGGATGTCGATAGTACCATTGTGGCGCAAGTTTTTCTTAAGGTTTTTCATGAATTAGGGAGATTTTCTATTATCTTCATGATTTGCTGACGCTCAGATATGGGTTCTCCATAACCGGTAAGTTGGTTAGCCATTACAATCATGTCATCAAAAAATTCCAGCACCGATTGGTTCTCTCTTATTTTATTTTGGTTGTATTCATGTTTTGCCATGTAATTGTCTTCGGTGTCTCTTTCCTCTATAGCCTCCAATAAGTCTTTAGCGTTAGTGTAGGGTTCAAAGACTTATGTTATCTGTCACTAAGGCAATTCAAGATAGCACCTTTACATGTAAAATTACCATTTTTCCATTTTAAGTATCTTTGTCTTTCTCTAAGTGTAGAATCATCATCAGGTTCAGATACGATTTCTTCTTCAATAATATACAACAAACCCATAGTATGCAGCAAATAAGATACTTTACTCTTCCAAGTAAGAAATTATAGTCATCAAGCTTATCAATCTTTACTAAATCAGTCAATACAGCTCTAAGATTAGCTATTTTTTATACAAACTAAAAACCCCTAAGCTCTAATACCAATTATTGGCCCAAATACAATGCATATTTATAGTTTTCGGAAGTAAATAAAGCTATATCAAAATGTAAATTGGGTTTTAAACACAATCAGAAATATCAACAAACAGACGGCATGCAACTCTTATCAAAACATTTTCAAAAGCTTGTTGTAACTTTCTTTAAGACTCAAAAGAAGTGCACAAATATCATGAACTTTATTATCCACAAAGGCATCAAAGCCTAAAATCAATTGCAAGTATTATAAACATCTTCTAAGCAACCCCATTGCAATTTCCAGCTAGCATATACCCATCACAAATGTATAGTAAATCATTCCAACAATATAAAATGATGCCCACTAATTTTTCCCTTGCTCATATAATTTTTTTAAACATTCAAGTACTATTTTCAGGTACAAAAGATGCAGAAGAAAGTTGGAACAAACTCACCAAATTCGTATAAATTTGCAAGCACAGTTTGGTAGCTTTTCTAGAGAGAGAAACTTGTTGAAAATGGATTTTCCAACAACATATAGCACAAAGGAAGACAAAATTGCTGCAAAGCAATGGTTAGTAAATAATCTAGAGAGAGATAAACTTCCGTGAAGCAATACGGTGTTGGGATTTATCCCTATGACACTGAAGGGTTCTCACAGAGATGAGAGGCACATCCTTTGCACCCAGCATAAAGAATCCTAAGAGAAAAAAAGAAGTTTTAGAAAGAGAGAAAGAGAGCTCGTGCTTGGTACCCTAGCCTCCCAAAACCCTTCATATATAGCTAGAAAAGAAAAATTAGAGAGAGACACAGGTAGAGAGAGAATGGTCAAGTGTTGCCTCTCAATGGCCACTTGTCCCTCCCTTGACGTGACTCTTTCTTTTGCTCTACACAAACCACTATCCACTTTTAAAATACATTTTAAGTGGGGTAGAAAAGAAAATAAATAAATTAAAAATTGGGCCCTTATTTTGTAAATATTTGAAAACACAATTTTCTCTAACATATCACTCAACTACAGCTTTTGCTTTTCCAAGTCACCAAATTTTCCCCCGTCATAGTGCAGTAGCTAATAGTTGATTGGAAATCAAATGGGCAACCAACCCAGTCATCATCTGCGAAGCTATGTAAAAGAGCCTTACTAAGACTACTTTTGTGGTATCTCAAAATATGTCTAACTGCCTATAAATATACATATCATGAATAGTGCATAGACGGGCCAACCCTGTTGATTGGACTAGTCATATTAGGTCATGTAATGGTTAGATAAACAAGTCGACCAAGTAGCCTATGCTACATGCCTACATCATCAATGAAGTTGCATCCAACGTGATATTACAATCAAATGGACAAGTAAGAGGTTTAACTGCTGTTTTCCTAGTTAACTATAAAAGATCAAGGTTTACTTATACAATGAAATGAATATCCCTAACTTGGAAGCTACAACTTTTATACCTAGAATGTACTCAAGATGCCCCACATCCTTGATGTCAAATTCTTGGTGAAGATGAGTCTTAATAGGAGATATGTTGTCCATAACACCCCATGTTACCATAATATCACCAGCATAAACAGGAAGGTTAGTACCTTGATGTCTCCTCTTTTCGAAGAGGGAATATTCAGAATTGCTACTGTGAAATCTAAATACCAACCATGTGTTACTAAATCAGGTTGAACCACACTCGTGATAACTGTTTTAAGGCCATCTGGGAGGCCTCACACAGCCTAGCAAAGGCGGGCATTTGATATACACTGTTAGGTGTGGAGACCAATCCCTTATTACATTCAATTTAAAAATTCAATACAAGAGCCTCTATGCACCTCTTTACATATTTGAATCAAAATTACATTAATAAGGAACTAAAACACTCAGTTTACCACCTGGTTTACAACTCAAAATGAAGATAAAAAACACTTCAATGTGGCCCCAAAGACATTTCCATTAGTTTGAACTAGTGAAGGTTTTAGAGAGACAATACAATTGACACTTGGAAAAATTCAGCAACCCTTTTCATTGTGTACTACATCAAACACTTCACAATTACATTCCAATGACTCAAATACAACCTTCAACTTTATAAACACTTCACAAATGCGTATATCAAATACATCAACCATAGGAAAGTCAATTCTCATAAGAAATGCTCAGGATCACCTCCTCGAAACTTAACCACACCCACACCGGATCTCCACATCGAAAGACCAAGTAATTGGGGCAATGTAATCCTCCAATTCTGGGAAACTATCAAAATGAAGCCATTCTACAATTCATCATGCTCAAAGGCGCCGATAACATGATCATAAAATACTCCTTAAAAATAAGGTGGTGCTTGGGAGAATCTAGGCTAAATTGGGATCAAATGAGGTACTATGGGTGAGCACACAATTGGACATGGTGATGGCTCATAAAATTGAACTTAGGGCTTAGAGAGAGAAAGATTACATCGCTATAAATAGGTAAAACCCAGTCAAAACCAGTAGCATAGAAGTTGAACTTGAGCCCCATTAGGTGAGGGACTGAGCCATGGTTTAAGCCATAGGGTGCAGGGGCAAAGGGCCAAGGTGAGACGGGTGGGTTAAGCTAGGTGGTCACCGCCAAGGGGCATGGCCACAATCCTATGCCTCTCTCTTTCTCTTACTAGGTTGGGTGTGCCACTCTTTTGGTCTCTTTCATACTACAAGAGTTGAGTGAGAAAATGAGAGGATGGCACCCCTATTTATAGGCTTTGTGAGGAAGTGTATAGAAGGTTCATTGGAGGATTAGTTTGGACCATTGATCTAGGAGATCAACGGGTTGAAGAGAGGATTTGATCTAAGACATTTATCTCTAGATTAGTTGTTAAAGATCTAGGGATGAAATTTAACACCCTTATCCCATAATTAAATTTCTCTCCAATTTCGATTTTCAAAATCAATATTCAAGTTTTCCACAAAGTACAATTCTTCCATCACAATTTTCTTTGACTAAAAGAAAGATTAAGAATAGTGACAGGCGTGGCCCCTTTCTGGGTTTTCTTCTCTCTCCTTATTCCTGAAATGAGAGAGATACGGTGAAATTCTCTCTCACTAAATCAACTAACTCACACATGAGGTGAATGAGAGTCCGACGGGGTGAATGAGAGTCCGACAAGGTTCATGCAAGTGGGCCTTTTTAATTTCCCATTGAGCTCTAGGATTTCAATCCATATATCAAACCCTACACCACTTCTAAAATATATACACATGTGCAATTCTAAAACAACACTACATCAAAATTGGGCTTGTGTGGACAAAAAAAACAAGGGCATAACTACACTTCCCACTTGGCGATGACGCCACCAACACATGGGGGGTAGTGGGGCCCATGTGTGGCCAACTAGAACACCATGAAAGGCCTAATGACCATTTAGGCCCCACATGTATCCACAGTCACACGTGTGTCCGTAATTGTCACTATTTCAAACAATTTCCCCAGCTCAGTTTCTTCTCTAGAAAATTCCTATAGAATTCCCAAAAATAACAAAAATCAGTTTTAAGTATATTTATCATTTTGAAGTGGTTCGGACTCCTAAAAACAATATTTAAAGGAAAATTAAGTAGCTTTAGGAATCGAAACTTAAAACATGTCAAGCACGCCACTCGGCTTACCCTAGAACCGTCGACCATTTTCTTAAATTAGCCCAACAAAACACAGTAATAAGCAGAGGCTCATGCTTGGTTCATCAAAGTCAACCAATAGATGGTTAGATCCCAAGATTGTAGTAGAACGGAGATGTACCGCCGAGGACAAGTACTCAGGCATCTAGATGAGGGAGCTCCCCTCTCAAACACATGTGCATGACCCCTATCGTGTAGATCACCCGAAAAGGGCGGCTTCCCAAAGACAGTTGTCATATGCAAATGTTGTGGGTTGGTTGATGTCAAGGATTTGGCCCTTGTCCAATCAAAGCAAATCATTCCACATAGGACCACAACAAATCACAAAAAGTCCACATATAGCCACAAAAAGTCCACAAAGGGTCAACAGGAAGTGCACAAATGTGCTGGCTATGTTACAACCATGGGGCCAATACACGGCAATCTCGACTGAGGGATTACCCTCAATCCACAAGGCTACAATCCGGGCTATTTCTAAAATGTCTGAAGTTTTATGAATCTATAAACATCGTTCTTGGATCCCAGACCACAGACCCGGCCAGTCAGAAGGATCGTATTTGGATCCATACTCCCACCAAAGTTAAAAACTCATTGAGAAACATGGTGTCAAGGCCTTGAAAGGCCACACAAATTCAAGATATGCTTCCTCTTCTAAGTCTCCATGAAGGAAAGCATTTTTGACATCTAGTTCAAAGAGAGATCAACCTCTGCATATAGGTAGCTACCGAAAGAAGAACCGGAACAGCTCCCACCTTAGCAACTGATACAAAACCTGATAATCAATTTCAAACTTCAGGGTGAAACCTTTGTATACAAGTAGGGCCATGTACCATTCAATGCTTCCATCAGGCTTAAACCTCAGCTTGAAGACCCATTGGTGGCATATTGCCTTCTATCCAAAGAGGAGATCCTTTTTGTCCCGGATACCCTTCTCTCAAGATCTTGGACTTCTTCCTCCATTGCTCTTCTCCAATTTGGGTTCTTGATGGCTTCGCAAAAGTTGTAGGTTCTGAAACATAATCAACATAAGAAAAGAAAGATTAATACAAGGAACAAAGGGGTGAAGGAGCTGTATAATATACAAAACATTCAACAGAATGATACCTCCTCCTGATTTTCATATGCCAGTTGGCAGATCCGAGTTAGATTGAGAAGAGGTACCTGGTGAGGAAAATTTGGTCCTGGTGGACACATTAGTGGGGTAATCATGCAATCATTGGGGGCTATGGTATCCACAGCAATGGATTGCATTGGTCTTCTTGAATAGGTCAATATGGGCCTCGTTTTGATCTCATGTAGGCTCCATTGACATATAGAAGAGAGCAGTATCACTAGTTCTTACAAGATAGATAAATTCAGATTATGATTCCTCCCTTGAGTCTCAACCTCCTGTTTAGGATTCTAATTGATGTTTCCAAGAAACATCACATGCCTCGAAAGATAGTGTTTCTTCTTTTTTGGTTCATAGGGCTTGTACCCTTTTTACTAAGAGAATAACCCAAGCAAACACATTTTACTAAGCCTTGTTTCACCAAGGTACTAAACAAATATATCCAAAGCATGCATATGAAAGAAATTGAGTGCCTTCCCAGTTATTTCACTGGGACTATCGTAGCCAAGAATCTGTCGGGCACTATCTTTATAACATAAGCTGACACAACAAGAGCAAAACACAGAATGTCTTCAGAGAATGCATGTCAATCATCAGACTTCTCATAGTTTCAAGGATATGTCTAATTTCTCTCACAACATCATTTTGTTGTGGTGTTGCAAGAACGAGGTCTGGTGAATTATCCCATTTTCTTCCAAATATGCGTCATGTTTTTTTTATATACTCAGTTGTAATATCAGTTCTAAAGATTTTGACTTTGGCATTAAATTGAGTAATGATCACTTTATGGGAAACCAAAAAAATTTCAAACACTTCTACTTTGGTTCTTATGCAACAGACCCAAGTGGTACAAGAACAATCATCAATGAAGGAAACAAAATATTGAGCACCAGTGATAAATTTCACAGGAAGGGACCCCACATATTGGAGTAAATAAGAAAAACAAATATAAACAAGGCACTTTATTATTAATGAAGGGAAAATGATAAAGTTTGAAAAGCTGACAAACTTCATATAAGAAAATAATATGATCTAGAAAAAAACCAAAAGGAAAGAGATTCGTAAGGACTTGAGGGATGCCACAAATGACCATACCAAAGATCTCCATCTTTAACATCTGATACCCAAAGCCATTGGTGCCTAGCTGAAGAGACCACTGTCCTCATACGCCTTTCCAATCATCTTCCCAGTCCTCAAACCTTGAGGGAGTGTTTGTTTGGTGGAACTTTGGAAGCAGGAGACTGAAGTCAACCAAATCTTAATCTGCATTTGTTACATCCTATTGGAAGCTGCAATTTGGAACTAGCGACTTTCTAAAGCATGTAAGGAGCGGCTTCCATGATTTGTGTTCCACCAATCAAAAATGCACTGAAAGTCATAGCGAGATGGAGAAAGTTACCAGATGATTCAAATTTTAAGTTTAACCCTGCCCATAATGGTAAGTTACCAGGGAAAGAAGGAATATGGAGCACTCCTGAAAGATGACTAGGAGTGAGGTTAATGGATCCTACACCCTCAATAGTTCTACAGGACCATCGGTTGGGTAACATCTTGTAATTAGCAAGGAAGTAAAGGGAGCTTACCAATCATATGCTCTGTTAGTCCAGCGCCATTTACCTAACTTGAAGAGATAGCAAGGAGAGACTGAAATTACTTGTCTGCCAAAATAAAGTGTACTGCTAGAGTGTATAGCAGATTCCTTTCGCTGAAGGAGCCCAGTGAGTTGACTGATCTTTTCATCTGACAAGTCTGAGAACTCGGTCAGTTAGTGATCTGTGACCTTGGCTTGACTAGTTGGTGGAGATTTTGGTCACCCATGCAAGGCCCAACACCTATCCTTTGTATGGCCCAATTGATTGTGATATTCACATTAAGGTCTAGTGGTTGTACCCCAATTAAATTAACATCCATCTTGAAAATCAACAATACAGGTTGGAGACCTTGGAAACAACCCCCATCACTTACCTATGCTTTTCTTCTATTTAACGAAGAGCATAGGCAACATTGATCGATGGAAATTTTTCAGTAGATATATACATGTACAAACCATTTCATAATCATCATTGAGGCCAGCAAAGAGTTTGAAGAAATGCCTCTTCCCAACTTGATTTTACCATTCCAAAATGGCAGTTAGACACTCATATGGTGAGGGCTCATAAAGCTTGCGTCCCCCCCTATATGACTAGTGCTCCACAATATTCTGTCTGATATTGATCTCTTGGAGAGCACAAGGCTATATGTCTATTGAGGTGGTACACTAAGGCAATATTATCCTTTTGAGTAAATTGCTTTTTTAATGTGTCTGAGATTTCTTTGGCTAAATCAAGGAAAAATAATCCACCTCTAATGGATTCATCAATAGAACTAAAAACCCATGCTATAACAAGTGAATCCGATGCCATCCACACTTCATACTTGGGGTTAATATGATTAGCATACTTGGGTGCTCCATCTATGTATCCGATATCATATTTTCCCTTAATTATCATCATAATTGACTTGGCCCAAGCAAAATTGTGGCTGCCATTGCATTTAAATTGACAGTAGCAATTTGAATGGTCATTGGATCCACAAAGGATGAATTCATTTGATCTACTATTTAATGGATAAGATAACTTACTAGAAGAAAATACAATACAGGAAGCTTACCCAAGCTTATATTGCAGGCTTTTATAATAAACACTTGAAATCAGTCCTCAATACCGGGCAAAAGGCATAGGTGTTTGATCACTGCACGAAGACTGCAAACCCTAAGGATCCTTCCAATTTCCAAACCCGAGATCTGAAAAAATGAGTGCAGGTATTGATCACTGCAAACCTTGCTGTGATACCATGAAAAATTTGTTGGCTTGGATATCTAGGAGTAATGGGAAAGCAAGAGAGAGAGGTGGAGAGAAAACACGTTGGCAGTGAGGAAGGGAAGAGAGCACTGCAGAGAGAGAGGCAAAGGAGGTATTATAGAGGCCAAAATATAGGCCTAGGGGTTGGATTTTATGTAGTTATAATTAGTTCCACGAAAGACAACTTCGTCCTTCAAAAATTATAAACGAACTAATCAGTTCAAAAGAATGACAAAAGCAGCACTAGAGAAGGAGAAAATCCCACAGCATCCTTAAAACTACATGTAACAAAATATGCACTCCCTACACATGTTTATTAGTGTAAATGACAGTCCATTATGATTTTGCTATATTTCGAAATTTGACATGGCATCAGAAACACTCCAATACTAAACTGTATAAACTCAAAGTTTTTTTTTTTTCTTTGTTGAGAATGTTAACCTACAAAGCTGACTATTTTTAGCATCTCTTGGACCAAATTTTTGCAAGACCGAGGATCTAACGAGGGAAATCATCAACAAGAGTCTAGAGTGGAAATGCTTCTCAATTGGAGAATCTCCTTAGAAATTATTATACATGTGGCACTACAAACTGTAAAACAGTGGGGCCGCCTAGGCACAGGGCACCCAGAACTTGGGAGGCCCAGTAGAATAAACAGCATGATATCAAACTGCCTAACTATTTTAGGGTCAGATTTGTGTCATCATCATCATAACCTTTTCCCAATTAATTGGGATTGGCTTAGGGTCAGATTTGTGTAAACAATTAAAAAATACATATAGAGGACATATAATATTTTAATAGTACATAATATATATAGTCCATCCATAATCCATTAGGCCATAATTCCATACATTTGAAATTCAAAAATGAAAGTTCAAAATTCAAACAATTAGACGTTAGAGTATTAGACCATACTCCATAGTCCATACCATAATCCAAACTCCATGCACTCCATAGTCCATACATACAGTAAAAATAGGAAAATAATAATATGAGATGGCAAGACATCAATCTTCAAACTTCCACTTTGAGAAGTTTCCCAATCTCAAAATCTTCTAAAAAACCCAAAATGCCCCTCAACGAGGGGTCGCCCTAGGGCTGGGATTAGTCCCTACAGCCCAGAGCTGCCCTAGGTGCCTAGGCGGTCAAGCAATTTGCCCTCTTAGGCCTAGGTGATGTGCCCCCTGGCCCGCCTAGGCATTTGGGACAGTAGAAGATTTGTGTTCATGTTTTGCTGCTTTTGTGAGCGGGTACAGTAAAGGTTTGTTGTAGCACTTGAGGGTACCACACAAGGAATAGAGAATAAAATTCTACCTTATACAAGACTCTTTAACTACAAATATTAACTTGGAAGTTACAATGAGGTTGCCTTGGGGTAAAAACCCTCAATGCCTACATGTACAAGATTTTAAAAATGAAAAGCAGAAATTTAAATTTGAATTCTCTCTAATCCACTCACATTACAAAAGGGGGCTCAATTTACTCAATAAAACAAATTACAACCTGATACTATGAGAGAGAAAAAGTGTAGGGATCTAAACCATATTAAATGCATTAAGAGTGAGGATCAAAGGGGAAAGATGATGAGGTCAACGAAAGGTCGAGAGTTTATTTTCAAAATTATTAAACGATGAACACAATGGGAACATAGCGGTAGAAGGAACTGGTAGTACAAATGAGGTCGGAGGTCATACATACATTCGTAGGATTACGATGTCGGAAGTGAAAGAAGCTTTGAAAATGATGAACATAGGAAAGGCTTTAAGACCAGATAGTATCCCGATAGAGGTTTGAAAGTGCACGGGGGAGATTCGCATTGATTGGCAAACGAAGCTATTCAACAAGGTGATTAGAACAAAGAAAATGTCGGACAAATGGAGGTAAAGTATATTAGCCTTCTGCTAAATAAAATGTTTCAAAACAACTCAAAATTCTGCTGGTCCTTTCTTATGGGATGGACCAATGGCCCACAATCTTTTATTTTGAGTTTTGCATGATGAGGTGGTCGTTTTTACCACATACTTTGGGGCAACTCAACAACCCCTTCTCTTATTT